CGTTTCAGGCAGAACCATTAAGAGCTAACATGGATATGAAGAAATATAGATAATGTTTCATTAAAACCCAATTTGATTAAAGGTGTTGCCCCCGTACCTAGCTGTGATTTAGAACATCTGCAGATGTTTTTGAAAATACAGTTAGTCAGTCCTACTCCTCAGAGATTCGGATTTTGAATTTCATACTTTTTAAAACTCCACAGGTGATTCTATTATTCAAACAGGTGTGTAAACCAAGGGATGAGAGTAGTTGGTAATATCAGAACAGCAGTGGCGAGGAAGGCAAGGCTGTCACTGAGGATTCTGTTTTGGGCTAGGAAGGCAGCACGTAGTTCAGGAGGCAGTAGAGAATTGGTAAGGTATTTTGTGAGAATATTGCAGGTAAAATGAAAAGAATTTGAAATCAGGAAGGTGATTTTGAAAAAAACTTGTCCAAATATATAAGGCTGACCAATGGGACAAAGTTAGGTGAAGAGAGCTTGAAGGGAAAGCAGGAAAATAAACACAGGCTGAAAAGAAGAAAGATAGATGATGCACAGACAGACAGGCAGAAGGAGGTAGATATTGAATAAATTCACAAGCAGCAAAAAGTGTCTAGTAAATAAGGCAAATTAAGCAAAGAACTGAGCCTGAGACTTTGACTAAGACTATAATAATGTCTAATAAATACTAATTATGTATCTTAGTATTAATGTTAATAATACTAAAGTTCTAGAGGTAAAGGGAAGTATGATCCCAATATACTATTGTTGATTCACATAAATATTTCACTGATCAAACCTCTCAGTTTAGGAAAATTAATGGTTTTCTTTTGCAAAGTATTCTGTAATTCCCAAAGTGAAAATTTACAGTCCAGAGGTAGATATTGGAGCAGATGACTAAAGAGGCTTTTGATATAAGCAGAGGAAATGGAAAGCCCCAAATTCCACAAGTAATCATCCACTCTGCTTAAAAAGGGAATTGTCTGTTGAAACAAATAAAAAATCTAATTTTATAACCACAAATTGAAAATTATTTCAAACATAAACTATTACTGAAGCTCTAAACCAGGTAGCAAGACAATAGAAAGGAATAGTATGCTGGACGTAACAAAAAGTGAATTTTTTTTTTTTTTTGAGTTGGAGTCTCACTCTGTCACCCAGGTTGGAGTGCAGTGGCACACTCACTGCCACCCCAGCATCGACTCTCTGGGTTCTGGCAATCGTTCTGCCTCAGCCTTCCAAGTAGCTGCGCCAGGCTAATTTTTTTTTTAATTTTAATTTTTTTTTTTATTTATTGTAGAGATGAGGTCTTGCCCAGTTGCCCGGGCTGGTCTTGAACCCGTGGGCTCAGGTAATCCTCTTGCCTCGGCTTCCCAAAGTGCTGGAATTACAGGCTGAGCCACCGAGTCTGGTCAAAATGTGAATTTTTAAATCATGGTTCTTTTTTTCAACTGTAGTCCACAATGCTAATCATTAGATTACATGGAAATTATCTGCTGTGCTGGTGTGATAGCGGTAACAGCAACATGTTCCAGGTCAGAAGGACCTAGGGAAGTACTCTAGAATTATCACTGACACATAAATATGTATTGGATAAATTAATGTGCAGTAAAAAGTGTCTAGTACATAAGGTAAGTTAGGCAAAGAACTGAACCTGAGACTTTGACCAAGGCTATAATAATGTCTAATGAATACTAAAAATTATTTATTTTATTATTAATGTTAATAATACTAAAGTCCTAGAGGTGAAGGGAAATTTAATATATATGGAGTTAAAGGATATAATGTTAAAAATGAGAAAATAACGTTTTGAGGGTTTCATGAAGACAATGTCAAAGCATTCATATACATTTTAATTCTAGGAAGAAGATAATCATGCTGTCATACTAATCATTTAGCAAAAATATAATTTACTTTCTTTTTTTTTTGAGTTGGAGTCTCACTCTGTCACCCAGACTGCAGTTCAGTGGCTGCTCCCGGCCACCGCAGCCTCGACCTGCTGGGCTCCGGTGATCCTTCTGTCTCAGCCTTCCAAGTAGCTGGAATTACAGGCGCGCACTATCATGCCTGGCTAATTTTTTGATTTATTGTAGAGATGAGGTCTCGCCGAGTTGCCCAGGCAGGTCTCGAACCCGCTGGCTCAGGCAATCCACTCACCTCAGCCTCCCAAAGCGCAGGATTACAGGCTGACCCACTGAGCCCGGCCTGTAATTTACTTTTTATGTGCTGCTAGAGATGTATATACACTTTATGCTCATCTATCTACTATGTTACACTATAGATATTTTATTTTATAGTTTACGGATGAGAAACTTAAGAGTTTGGAGGCTGGTTATTGTGCACGGGAGACAACTTTGAACCAAAGTCCAAAAACCTGCGCAACTTTATTATTTTTTCACACACAAAAGTTTCTCTATTTGAAGGTGGGAAAAAAAATAGAGATTCCATTAAATGCTTTCACTTGACTGCATGGGCAAGGCAAGTCTTTTAGTCATGTACCTGAGAGAGATCACTATCACCTCATTCCAGACACTGATTCTCGTCTCTGCGAAGACCAACATTTCCCCAGATTCTCAAAAGCTTCCTTGTTTTTGGTTGGAAAGAGACAGGGACTTCTAAGTAAAAAACAAAAGTGATGCATAAAACAAAATCTTGAAATGTGCCCTAAGTATAAAATACACATCATATTTTAAGGATTCCGTACAAATGAAAAGATTAGACATCTTATTAATTATTGAACTTATGACATAAAGATGTAATATTTTGGATATAGTGGGTTAAATAAACTGTTATCAAAATTAAAAACGTAAAAACACACACACATGAACCCCCACACATGTATGGCAATAATTTATTTTTAACAGATACGTGAATAGATGTAGTATTCAATTAGACAAAATCCAGGCCATCATGAAGCTAAGCTTGAAGATAGACAAGAAGAAAATGTAAATTCTATAGAACTCTATACAGAGATTACTTGCTACAGAGGGAAAATACAAAATAGGTTAGTGGTGACTGTGGGTGAAGAAGGGAGTGCTATTTTAAATAGTGTGGTTGAACAGTCCTCATTGAGAATGTAGTGACTAAGTGAAAATCTGAAGAAAATTAAGGCATGGATTTTGTAAATATCTGGGAAAAGGGAGTTCTTGGAAAGGGAGCAAAAGTATAACGGTAGGATGGGGAAATGTCTAAAACTTTTGAGGAAACACAAGGAGGCCAATGTAACTACAGTGTATTACAGTAGAGTAGTCAAGGGTGAGAGTCGAGTAAGATGAAGTTCTGGAGGCAAAGGGAAATGTAATATATATGGAACTAAAGGATGCAATATTAAAAATGAGAAAATAGAGTGATTTGAGTTCTTCAGGTCACTTGCACACGTCTGTTTATCGCAGCGTTGCTCACAATAGCAAGATCATGGAACCAACTGTGCTGTCCATCAAAAGAGACCTGGATTAAAAAATGTGGTACATATACACAGTGGAATATTACGCAACCATAAAAAAGATCAAAATCATGAATTTCGCAGCAACCTGGATGGATTTAGAGTTTATAGTACTGAGAGATTAGTCACAGAAACAAATATCTGAGTATCACATGTGCTCACTCATAAGTGGACCTTGAACAAGGAAAGATTGACAGTAGTGGGAAACTATGGCGGGGGGCGGGGCAGGGAGGGGCAGGGAAGTGGGATTGATGGCAGTCAATATCAGTCTGGGGACGGGGGACACACTTCATCAACAAGGGTACCTACACAATGAATATTTGTATACCTAACCCTTAACTGTACCCCACAATTTTAAAATAAAAGATATATATATGTGTGTGTATATATATACATATATATATAATTTTTTAAAAATAAGAAAATAGTGTTTTGAGGGAACAGGATATTCAAGTCAGCTAATCATTATGTTCTTATCCTTTCTACAGACTACTTAAGAAGTCAAAATATAACCACAGTTTAATTCATGAATAAAGCATGGAGGGGAAAAAAGTCCCTAAGGTCATTTTGATGATTTTGTCTGTTTGTTTTTTTAGCTAAGCTGAGACATGTTTACCTTCTATGGAGAGAACATTTTGACAACATAGTGTAATATCTTTGGTCAAATCTCCCTGTCTCCAAACACTGGATGCATTCTTCCTGAATTTTTTTAAACACTTTTCCTTCCCAATATGTTCGTTTGTGATAAATTGATAATATCTTTTTAACTGAAAATTTCAGCACTCACCTTGACTGCATTTTACATGGTTTCACAGAGAGATTTTCCACTTTTTATTTTAATTGAAAGAGTGGTAAGTCTGGAAATACCTAAATATAGATGAATGCCTATCAGAACCCTGTCTCCATGATGAATCCTGTATTATTAAATATAATGCAGTTGTGATATTTTTACCAAGAAAATTATAGTCTTAATTTTTAAACATGTGCCAGGCCCTGACTAGTTGTTTTTAATTCATGAACTTTGTTTTTGGCTCAGTACCCCTAGTTGAGCATAGAGGTGGCACATGATGGATACTTAATAAATATTCACAACTCAGCCTTTGAAAACCCCAGGTATTTTAGCCAAAGTTAGATTGCATTTACAAATATCTGACAGCCCATTAATAGACTCACCAAGACCAAGTCTGGGAAACCTCAAACTCTTTCTTAATTCCTATAGGTAAGAAATGTCTGACTCTCAAGGAACATTACAAAAAAATATGAATTATATTCACAGTGACAACTTGATATAATTCACGACTTTGCTAATATTCTCAACAAACTCCTCACACTAAAGACAAAGCTCCTAAGTAGATTAATCTTGTTCTTTGTTTTTCTCATTCACATTAAATTAGTAGTCAGTGATTTCATAGACCTAAACATGTTTAACCTTGAAAAATATTTTTTTTTTCTACACAATGTAACATTATCGTTATGGGGAGGAGTCTTGATTTCTTTGTGACATTTACTATCATGAGCACACTTTTGAGTCTTGCATTAAAATGGTCTCCTGTTTTGGTTTGTCTTTTCTAATGTAGGCATTGACTGTGAAGTAAATATAGATGAATGCCTATCAGAACCCTGTCTCCATGATGGATCCTGTATTGATGGCATCAATCATTACACCTGTGACTGCAGGCATGGGTTTTTTGGAACACACTGTGAAATAAATGGAAACGATTGCCTCTCAAATCCTTGTCTACATGAAAGGTAGCTATTTTTATTTTTTCCATTATTAACTGTATGAAAGTATATTTAACTCACAATATTTAAGACTTAACGTCAAGGGAGAGTTGATAAAGATAATTTTAATTATGCTCTTTCATAAAACAAGAGCTAAGTACAGTTAGGATGACAGATGCTGCCAGTTTCGCTAATGCAATGTACTGATACATTATCTCTGCCCTTCTTTTATTTCTGTTCATTAGCATAAAGTAATTTTCAATAAATGTGGATTAATTAGACTTTAATATACTTAAAGGTAACTGCTCACAGTAATAGAAGTAGCAGGTCGAATGATGCGACATTCTGTTATTTGCTCTGTGGAGAGATAATACCACACATTTCATGTTTAAACTGTTCACAAGTAGACCGATTCTTTCATCCCTACTTTTTCGAAGGCTATTTCGTGACTCGATGGAACTGTAGAATAACTCTTCTGCTCATGGTTAGAATATTGGTTAATAAAAATATGGAGTGGGGTGGAAAAGAAGAATGTATCATGGATGTACCATGCTACTTGCTTCAGCAATACTTTTATTTTCTAGTCCTGCCAGGACTTTATAAACAGGGAAGGAAGAAGGAAGGTGGGTAGCTCATTGCAATGCAGTTTTGCTGTGGCTGACTTCAGTTTCTCACATAAGCCCCAGACACTCGTTTTATCTTATAAAACTACTCCTTCTTTTCATTGCCATGGGGAAAATGGCAAAATGAAAATTGATCAGTTTTTTTCAGTCCAGTCACCTTCAAGGATAAGAAACCAGGAATAGGCTCTGCTTTCTATTGCTCATGGGAGTGTCTTTTTTTCCACCTGAGCTAGAAAAGAAAATTTAAATGGCGAAGCGCTCTTGAAGTTGTGTTTTAACATCTACTTATTTGAAAATTGTATTCTAACTCTGTTTCAGGTGCACAGACATTACTAATGAGCATCCATGCTCATGTAATGCAGAATGAACTAGCACACAATGTCATATCAAGATCAGTGTAAGTTTTTATACTTTGTTAACATTATATGACAAAAAGTAATTTTAAAGAAAAGTCAATCTACTTGCTATGGGTTTTGGAGTCATTTCTTCAGCAGCTGTTGATGCTATAACTGCTTTCTCACTTTTCATCTGTGCAATCCTCAGCTGCTCCGAACAAAACTGTAAATCACAACTTTCTCTTCACCTTTCCCCTTTGTCTCTTGTTATTATAAATTTCTGCCATTTGGAGCCCTGCTTAAACTATATCCTAGAAGTGGCCATTTTCAACAGGAGCTCACGTAACTTATGTTTTCCCACCTGCCTCCTCTTCCCTGGCCTTGGGACACAGAGATATCTGTAGATCTGTAGGGACAATACAGGATTAAGTTGATCCAGACATCATAAGGAAAAAATGAATACTAGATGAATATGCTTAGAGATGAGTAACACCTGGAATACTCTCAGAATCTCAAGCTTCAGAAGTCTGGGGTGGTGTGACAGACACGTAATATTTTATGTGGAATGCCTCATCTGTTGAGAAATGTAGGTTGCCTGTTTGGGACCATTATTGGTGGATGAGAATCCGATGAGAGTTTTGTTTAAAAAAAATTAAATTCAGAGATATAAAAGTGCAAGTTTATTACATGGACATATCATGTACTGGTGGGGATTGGGCTTCAAGTGACCCATTCTCCAGATAATAAACGTAGTACCTGATAGGCAACTTCTGAACTCCAATACCTCCTCTGCCTCCTCCCATTTAGTGTTCGCTGTGTGTATTATTTCCATTTTTGTGGGCATTTAGCTCCCACCTATAAGTGAGGACATGTGGTATTTGATTTTCTGTTTCTGAGTTAGTTTAATTAGGATGGCATTTTCCAGTTCCATCCATGTTGCTGCAAAAGACATGATTTTGCTCTTTTTTTGTGGTGGAGTGGAATAATAGAGAGTTCTTCCAAATCCTTCTTGGCTGACGATAACACAGTAAAAGGAGGAAGCATAGTTAAAAAACTGCCTTTGGCATTGTGAGACCAACGCCATTTTATTTAAATTTTTGTGTCTCTCTCCCTTATCAGTAAAACATAGCTATATTGGCTCCAACATCAGACATTGTAGGGTCATGTGTGAGGATGCACATGTGACATTGTATTTCCTTAGTAAGTGGCCCTTTAGAGACAGGTGAGGGAGTAGTTAAATACACCCAAAACCAAGATTGAGTCTCCATGTTGCTACTACCTGCTGTGCGTTCTTGGACAAATTATTTTTATTTTGAATTTATGTTTTAGCTATTTAATGAGGGTAATCACAGTAGTTATTTCAGGTTGTCATGAGGATTAAGTGAGAAAATGCATGTAAATCAATTAACACATTTTCTGACACATATTAGTTTTTAAAAGATTATTTATCAATTGACATTATGTTTATTTGTTCTGGAGAGTGAAAGCCTTGCTTAATGCAGGGGGACAATATAGTGATTAATTCCCCATTAGAGAAGGAATGAACCATAATGTCTTATTTGGATTACTGCAGACATTGCCTGTGGTAATCTCTAAAATCACATTTCTTGATAGTATAAATATCACATTTTTATTTTTGAATTAAAAATATCAATAAACATTTTATTTCACATATATATGTGCCTATGTGTATGTACACACACGCAACCAATATGATGAGGACAGTTGTCAAAATTCTACCTATAAGCTTCTAGAGTTTTTCCTAATGGTTTTTATTTTAACACCAAACTGAACTCATTGTACTCCATGACTCGTTGTTTTACTTAGTACATGTTAGGAACCATTCCATTAAAATGCATAGGGTCCTGACTCCTCTTTAATAGCTACAAAGTGTTTTCAGTAAGTGTTGAAGAGCCACACTTACCTAATGAGAGTACGAGCATGCCAGCATTCCTGGATTCTATTAAATAAAGTCATTTTTAAAAAAGTACTGACTAAGTTGATGTAGAAAATGTAGTATGTCATTATTTTAGTTGACATTTTCCCAGATTACAACCAAAAGCACTTTTCCATATGATTATTTGCCTTTGTGTTTCTTTGTGCCTTATCTACTTCTAACCTTTTTATTTTGGCTTACTTGACCTTTACTTTTTGGTTTGTACTATTATTTTAAATTACAGATATAATTCACAATGTTCTGAAAAACTATAAACCTTTTCTAAAGCTTGGACACTCTTGTCTCATAAACTTATGAATTGTCATATTTTCATAATCTTCTTTACCTTTTTTAATGACTCTGGGCTTTTCATTTCTCTTTAGAAAATTATTTTGTGCAGTAATATTTAAAATATTTTTAATATTATCTACTACAATTTTAGAATTAACCACTTTTTTGTTTTAAGTCATAATGAATATATTGTTTGATTAATAAAACATAGAGATCTTACCTAATATGTTTTTTGTAAAAGTATAATCTATTTTCCCAAGAAATTTTATCAAGGAATCTGTTACTTCTCTATTGATTTGCGATGTCTCACTTTTCATACACAGAATTTCTGTATTATAAGTAAGTTTGGGAACTATCTATTCTGTTGCTCTGTTTTGTATTATGCAGTTCCATCTGCATTACTTATTATAGTGCAATAATTTTTTAAAAGTGTGTCATGTATCACTAATGCATTAAGTCCACTCTAAATTTTATTTTGGTCATTTATTCTGCAAATAATGAATATTGAATATCTACAGGGATTATCAGATATACCTTCTGCCCAACCAGCTCTACTTGGAAAGTTATCTATCATCTATCTCTCTCTCTATCTGTCATCTATCTATCTTCTATATCTATCTTCTATCTGTCTCAATTATTTGCTCACCTAATTATTTCAACTTTCTCTATGCTGCAAACTCTGATGGACATTTGTGTATTAAAACCTCAGACTGCATTTCTAGGCTAAGGAGACAAAAGCAATGGAGAAACACAGGTTTGCTAATTTAAAAGGGCACTCAGGTCAATATGAGCTAGGATGTTATATGTGAAGTTTTTTGGGCATGAAAGGCGCATGCTTTATGTTAGGGCTGGATTGGAAAAAGCTCAATCAAACTTGTTTTGATTTTTTGCCCACTGACCATTAGCAAGAAGCTTTAAATATTGGAATCACTCTAGAGAAAAACAATCACATGACTAGAATAGATACTGTGGTTAGTATAAAAAATCTAATTCATGTTTTAGAGATACACACATACACACACACACACAAACACACACACACACACACACACTCACACACACGAACAAGGAAATTAAGCAATGTGGAATTGAAAGCAGGTATTTCTCTTTCATGGGACTGAGAAGGATACCATGGATTCTTCTTAAGCAGCATGTGAATTTGACAGCAGTGTTATTTTCATATCAGATCATAAACATACACAAATTGTATTACAATGGAAAAAAAGAAGCTACGATTAAAGAATAAAAGAATGCATCAAGACATTATCAGAGGTAGGAAAACCGAGAGCAGTTATCATGAGCAGACATAATCTAAAACAAGGACCAATGAAGTTTCCTAAACAAAAAGGAAGGGATTGAAGGGGTGTGTGTGTGTGTGTGTGTGTGTGTGTGTGTGTGTGTGTGTGTGTGTGTGTCTTTGAGTGCAAACTCTAATTCGTGAGGGACTTTTTATACAAGATGACTTACATTTTTGTACCATATTTTTAGTTATATTTCTTTTCTATACAGTGGATTCTGACATTCAGAAGGATTTGTTTTAATATATCTGAATTTACTGAATTAAAGAACTGTAAAGATTCTGTGATTTGTGACGTTTAAATGGGACTTATCAATAAAATACTAAAAGAGTATTTAAATACTAAAGGAATTCTTTTAGTATTTTTCTCATTTTATTTTCATTTGAAACTAAATGACTAATGCATCAGAATGTTTTTAATGGAAAGGTTTGGTTTGGAATCTGTACCCCAATAATAGTTATCTCCCACACATCACTGTGGGAAATATTTATCTCCTTTGATTGGTGATCAAAAATGAGAAAAATGTATTACACACACAGAGTACATTACTTTTTCACTTAATCTGTCATTTCAGATTATTATATAAAAGCATATATAGTTCAACTTTAGTCTTATTAACATTCCATTGTGTGAATGTACCATATTTATTTAGTCAATAACTTTTTCTTGGACATTTAAGATATAGTAAGTCTATTGCTCTTAAAGATACTTTTTGTATCTTTGATGCAGAAGTTTGAGTTAATCATACTTTATTTCATAGCAGAAAATAATCAGCACTACTGTTAAGACCCTCTCTTTTTCATTTGTGTGTGTGTGTGTGTGTGTGTGTGTGTGTGTGTTTCCTTTTGGCCTTATAACCTATTCCACTATACTCGTGTTTGTTAGAAATTTTTTCCTACATATTTGTTCTGGAAAATTGTGAATATTACTTCTTAGTATCTGTACTATTTGTTTATATACATGTCATTTTGTTCTCTGGACATTTGTTCTCTATGCCACTATTCGTTTTCATCCATAAATCTTGAGTCTTTAAATTGAGGAAAGATCTCTGTCACTACTCATGCAAAAGTGAGCCCAAACCTGAATGAGAAGGGCAGAACAGGCCTTGCAAGAGAAGTTGCATTTTCTTTCTAGCCTTTCTTGATCATCAACGCCTATCCCATGCTACTAACAATGCTACAGATTCCTTAGTAACATCTAATCAAAGTGTTCTCAATCTTTTGGATTACTTATCGATGTCTGATCCTTCATTTTGCAAGTTAGAGTATATTCCACTGCCGAGATTTTGTATATACACTTTGGATTTTGTATTAGTCAGTGTTCTCCTGAGAAACACACTGGTGGTATAATTCAATTTGAGTCAATCTTAGTCCAAAGAACTGAGAACCAGGGGAGCAGAGGGTATAAATACCAGTGTGAAGACCAGAAACAATGAGATGACATGTCCAATCTTACACAGTGAGGCAGAAAAAGAATTGGATAAACTATTATTTGCTCTGCCTTTTGTTCTATTCAGACTCTGAATGCCCATTTCAGGTGGGCAATCTGCTTTATTCAGTCCACAGATTCAAATGTCAGTCTTATCTTGGTGAAAAATACACCCAGAAATAATGTTTAATCTGGGCACCATATAGCAAGTCAAATTGACACGTTAGCTTACCCATCACCAATTTCTTCTGCAGTACCCCTTTATCTGAGGAAATAGGATAATGTACTATATTAGATATTTTTTAAAAATTTGTTTGAAACTCCATGCTGTCTGTCAAAAACATCTAAATTTTTTAAAAAAATGAATTTGGCCTTGTTAATAGTTTTAGCCCTGTTGTACTTTCTTTTCAATATTTGATTTGTTTGTGAATCCCAGGCTATTTTTAGGACAATGGGGTTTTGTTTTCTTGTATTTTAGCAACCTTCTTTTCAAGAAGTTCAGCCTGGCACATTTTTTCATTAAAAGATAAAATAAAACTTACTTTAATAATATCAATTTGGTATTTCATAATCTTGCCTTATTTGTTGAAATAACAAAGTAAAATTGCATTTTATTTATATCAAAATATGTCATGTTAAATTGGGATCAAACAAAATCTTCTCCCTAATAGCTATATCCGTTCCACCTTCAATCATGCAAAATTTTGAGAAAAAAGAAAACTGCAAATTAAAATTATATTGAAAATAAACCCTACTTAAAGTCTTCACCATATACATTATCATATAGGCAATTCCATAGTCAAAATGTTTCTTTGAGAGATAATTGATACTCGGTGATACAATGAGCCCTAGGTTGAATTTCAGAGCATTTAGTATTTATGTCATTTTATTCTGTCACTGTCTTCTCTTTTTTTTTTTTTCTTTTTTTTGAGTTGGAGTCTCACTCTGTCGCCCAGACTGGAGTGCAGTGGCCGCTCCCGGCCACCGCAGCCTCAACCTGCTGGGCTCCGGCGATCCTTCCGCCTCAGCCTTCCGAGTAGCCGGAATTACAGGCATGTGCTACCCCGCCTGGCTGATTTTTTGATTTATTGTAGAGATGAGGTCTCGCTGCCCAGACGGGTCTCGAACCCGCGGGCTCAGGCAATCCATTCACCTCAGCCTCCCAAAGGTTCTGTCACTGTCTTGATATAAGACCTTGGAGGAGTTACTCCAATACCCTTGAACTCATCCTCATTCTTGCAAGTAGTAAAACTGTTGGAATGGATTTTTGCTACTCATGTCTGTTCCTAAACTTGTAGCATCAGAATCACCAAGGGGTTTCTTAGAAAGGGAGAACTCAGACCCTTCGACTTATTGAGTTTGGACCTGCAATTTAACAAGCTACCCAGGGTATTTATATGCAATTCAAGTTTAAGAAACACTGAACTACATTTGTAGTTTTTATTCATAGCTACATGAAATGTAGACAGTTCTCCTTTGCAGTAGACTAGGTGAAGACTTAATGGGAACCATGTCCTGTTTCCACTCCACAAATAGCACAGGCTTCTGTGTAACTATTTAGAATATTCTATTACTTGGCCTGATTAGAATGTTCTATTACTTGGCCTGACTCGGTGGCTCAGTCTGTAATTCCAGCACTTTGGGAGGCTGAGGTGAGTGGATTGCCCAAGCCTGTGGGTTTGAGACCAGCCCCGGCAACTTAGTAAGACCTCATCTCTACAATAAATCAAAAATTAAGCTAGGCATTGTAGCTAACATGCACTTGTAGTTCCAGCTACTTGGAAGGCTGAGGCAGAAGGATCGCAGGAGCCCAGCAGGTCGACGCTGGGATGGCCGTGAGCATGCCACTGCACTCCAGCCTGGGCAATGGAGTGAAACTGCAACTCAAAAAAAAGCATATTTTATTACTCCAAAAATCTCAATTTAAAACGTATTCCACAACTGCAAAACACCCGTGCTAAAAAATAAAACAGAATGCTACAAGAGACAAGTTATGATAAAGAAGATCTTTGGTAACGTGCTAATCTGAGCAGGTCAGTGTCCACAGGCCAAATCTTTGGATCTAAACCACATGTCTCAGAGAGAATACGACTATTTGAGTCAGCCAGATAACTGTCACATTGACCAGCCTAGTTGGTAGCTTGTTCTGTCTAAGCATTTCACAATGAATATGCCACTGCTCTGTTACTCTACCACTCCTTTACATTTCCTGGCAATGACATTTTGAGTACAAGTGGAATGAATATCATTGGGGTCTTTCTCAACTGTCTAGATTTCCCTGGTCTACAATATTCCTCTCAGTTTCCATCTCTTTCGCTATATACCTCAGCCTTTTATTTCTTTTATTTTCTGAAATTACATTAGTAAGTTCTTTTTGGGAAGTACTTTATTATATTAAATAGAGTATATCAAAGTAATACAAATGATGACGAACAAAAGAAAAGGCATCCTCTTTAATTTTTTAACCAGGAAAGATCAAGAACTTTAAATGACAATTTGATTTTCTCTAAAAAGAAATTGCTTTTGTATTTCCCATTAAGCTTTCTAATTAATTTAGTAAAAGATTCTTGTAAACCCTAGAGACAGAACTCTTGCCAGTCTAAAAACTATCCCTTTCTTCCCATGGGAGGTATAATTCAATTAGTTTATGTAATGCTTTCTAATAAATCATCCTATATGTACCCAGCAATAGAGCTGAGAGGAAAACCTGACTTCACACCGCTCTGTGGAATTCTGTGTTTATATTCTGTAAAAATAACTGCAGTACCTCCAGAAAGTCCACCAAGTGCCCTTGAGTAACCTCAAAAAGTTTGTACTTTCAGCAAAGGTAGAATAAATATCAAAATGGCATTTATGTACAAAAACATGCATTTGACTCTGTCACTTGGGTGAGCGTACAAAATCACTGGGTTACAGGCATAACTTGAGTTTTATACTGACATACATACTCCATTTCTTATTGAGAATGACAGGAATTACTTTCTCTGATAATTTCGACAAAAAATTAATATTCCAATGAATACATAATATGGATGCAATGGCTTCCATGTTATTCTTGTCAGTAAGTGTTTTTATTGTTAATACTTTTAAAAGTCACTAAATATTTGTAAGCATAAGTATTAGTGAATGAAAATTTTAGAAAACTGTGATTTTATTAGGGTAAAATGCTGAGGAAGTATTTTATGTTGGTATATATAATTATCTTTGAGAATGCAGTAGCTTGAGACCTAAAGTGCATGTGATCCCAATTTGTGTACATTTATTAAGTAATTCTATGTCAACAATTCATTGAAAATAAACAGCTTTACTAATTATGTCATGACTTTCCACAAATTATTCCCCAGAATTATGGGTGCAATTCTTTTCGGTTAACATTACATTGAGAAATAATGTCAGACCATGTTTATGATACTATGTATATTTTCCACAATGTAAGCACATATCTAAACCCTAAAACGTAAACTTTTTAAGCATTTGGTATTAGAAAATGAACATGCAGAAAAGAGAATATAAATATACATTTCTTATTTAAGTCAAGTTCCAAATATCTGAAATAGAAGCTTACAGAGCCCTTGGCCTTCTGTGTGAAAAGAAGGATGACATTAACTGATTAGCTATTGTGTCCCAGACACAGTGACAAATGCTTTATATTTATTATTGTATTTAACTTCCAGAGTGGCATTATTGCAATTTTACTCATAAATGTAGTTATAATATATAAAATATCATTTGTTCAATAAGTAAGCAAAAGTAGGAGAAAATTTAAAATATTTTTAAGCTTAAAAAGTAATAGATATTGTACAGATTCCTCTGATTCCACAAGGCCCCTGTGCATCTACAACTGTACATGTCAGTAGTGCTGAACATAAATTTAGACAAAAGCATGGAAGGAAAGTGGGTAATTAAAAGATTATGATAAGGTTTCAAAATTCAGATGTTATAGGTGTTTTGGATATTTGAGGCTAAATTAGAGAGATATAATTGTGAAATGTCGGTTCTAAGTATGTGATCAAACCCAGAATTCTTCTGAAGGTTAACAGAGATATTGCTAATTATTACCCTAGGATAGCAGAGTTAGGCAGGAGCTATACTGGGTAAATCACAGTGTATGGTAAATCCTAAGGATCAGTGAATGCCTGTGATTATCTACAGAGAAAATTTGCTTTAGCATCATCAGTGTGCATAGAGGTGGTTCTCTGATACGGTATGTGTTTTAATAAGGATTAATACAGTTAATACAGTTTTTTTTTTCCTGGAAAATTAGCAATGAGACATTTGATAGCACTTCAGGCAATAAAAGACATAAAACATTTATTATTATAAAAATGTATTTTGGTTACTAACAGAAGGAAAAACCAAACAAGTTTGCACAACAGTGTATTAAAATATTTTAAAATAAAAATGTAATTTCATTAACATAGTCTTATAACTAATAATCAAGTTTGATTCTCATTCCTGAATTTAGGACTGCACATCAATACCTTGTATGAATGATGGCATCTGTCAGAAGTCAGTACATGGATTGACTTGCATTTGCCCACTTGGATACACTGGTGCATATTGTGAAAAACGCATTGCCGGTTGTGCTGAACACAAACAGAATTCTCTTCCTTATCTTAATGGAGGAATTTGTGTGGATGGGCTTGGACACACTGCTGAATGCAGGTCAGTACTTATTTATCCAAAAATAACTAAATATATATTTAGGAGAGCTTACAAACATAGTAATGCACCCTGAAATGAAGATACTGAATTTTCAAGTAAGTGTTAATCTTAAAAAAAATGCAGTCACAACTTAGAAAGCAACAGTAACAAAAAGTACTGTTTATATTTTCTAAATATCATGTATTCATATAAATCCAATGTTTAATTTCCCATTTTTATCATCCCTCATTTTACAATCGGTTTGTATCTTCTTTTCTTCCTAGGAGTGGATTTTTATTCCTTTTCTTAAATGTTGTACCAAAATAATAACTTGTAAATATTTCACATTTATAACATAATTCTCAGAGTTTTTTCTGATACAGATATATCTGTCTTCTAGACTGTCAACAAGTTATAAATATTTTTGAGTTACAAAAATAAATTAATCTATTACTATATTGCTCAACCAGTTATTTAAGGTTCAGCAATTTATAGTTTTTAACTTCTTAGGTGATGAATTGTTACTTCCTTTGTCTTTATGGTTATATATTATATATGTATATATTATCTATTGGTCATTTGAGAGTTGATCATTATCTGTTCAATTTGTAAACCATTTATTGAACCCAATATTAAGAAAAAAATACACACATACGTTACCTTTTTTCACTATTTTCGTCTTATTAACCAATGCTAAGTAAGTCTGTGAACAACTGTGTTTCTGTCATAATATCTTAAATTACTGACAAGTTTACCATGTGTATTTTTTTAAATGTTGTTATATTTTAGATTCAAAGGTACGTGTGCTCGTTTGGACATGGGTATAATGTACAATGCTAAGGTTTGAACTTATAGTGAACCCATCTCCCAAATAGTGAACATAGAACCCAACAGGTAGTTTTTTTTTTCAACCCTTGCCCTCCTAACTCTCCCTTCTTTTGAAATCCCCAGTGTCTACATTTCGATCTTTATGGCCATGTGTACCCATTGTTTAGTTCCCACTTATAAGTGAGAGCATGCACTATTTGATTATCATTTCTAGTCACTTCACCTGGAATAATGACCATTTTGCTGTGATGGACATTATTTCATTGTTGTTTTTATGGCTTTCATGGTGTATATATACCACATTTTCTTTATCCAGTCAACTATTGATGGACATTTAGGTTGATTTCACAACTTTGCCACTATGAATGATGCTGCTATAAACAAATATAAAGTGTAAATGGTTTTTTTGATAGGATGATTTCTTTTCTTTTGGATAGATACCTAGTCGTGGGATTGGTGGGTTGAATGGTAGTTCAATTTTTAGTTTTTTAGGAAATATTCATTATGTTTGCAGTCTCACTAACTCTACTAATGTATAAGCATTTCCTTTTGTTTGCATCTTCATCAACATCTGTTAATTTTTGACTTTTTAGTATTAGCCATTCAGACTGGTGTGAGATACTGTCTTATTGTGGTCTTCATATGATTAGTGAGATAGCTTTTTTCCATATTTGTTAGCTGCTTGCATGTCTTCTTTTGAGAACTGTCAGTGCAAGTCCCTTGCTCACTTTTTAGTGGTGTTATTTTTTTCCCTTGTTGATGTGTTTAAGTCCTTATAAATTCTGGATATTGTCCTTAGTTGGATGCATAGTTTACACATATTTTTTCTCTTTCTGTAGGTTGTCTGTTTACTCTTGATTCTCTTGCTGTGCAGAAACTCTATTTAAGTCCCATTTGTCTATTTTTATTTTTGTTACACTTGCTTTTAAGGTCTGAATCATAAATTATTTGCCTTAGATAATATCCACTAGAGTTTTCCCAAGCTTTCTTCCAAGTTTCAATTCTTGCATTTAATAGATGCAGAGAAAGCATTCAATAAAATCCAATATCTTTTCATGATAAAAACCCTCAACAAACTAGGCATTAGAGGAACATAACACAAAAAAATAAGATCCATATATGACAAACCCACAGCCAACATCCTACTGAATAGAGAAAAGTTGAAAGCATTTCTGCTAAGAACTGGAATAAGACAAGGATTTCTACTCTTAGTACTCCTATTCAACATATACTGTAAGTCCTAGCCAGAGCAATCATAAAAGAGAAGAAAATAAAGACATCCAAATTGGAAAAGAGGAACTAAAATTATTTCTTCTCGCTGATGGCCTGATATTATATCTAGAAAACCCCAAGTATTTCTCCAAAACACACCTAGGCTTGGTAAACAACTTCAGTAAAGTTTCAGGATACAAAATTAATGCACAAAAATAAATTACACTTGTATATAGCAACAACACTCCAACTGATAACCAAACCAAAACCCCAATCTCCTTTATAGCCATATGCACAAAATAAAACACATAGAAATACATTTAAATAAGGAAGTGAAAGATCACCACAAGTGGAACTACAGAACACTGATGAAAGAAATCATAAATGACATAACTAAAGGAAGGAAAAATATCCCATGTTCATGAATATGAAGAATCAATATCCTAGCAGTGACTATGCTGCTCAAAGCAATCTATAGATTTATGCAATTTCTACCAAATTACCAATGTTATTTTTCAAATAATTAGGAAAAAAAATTCTAAAATTAATGTAATACCAAAAAGGAGCCTGAATAGCCCAAGAAATCCTAAGCCAAAAGAACAAAGCCAGAAGCATCACATTACCTGATTTTAAACTGTGCTATAAGACTATAGTAAACAAAATAGTATGGTACTGGTATAAAAATAGACACACAGATCAATGGAACAGAGTAGGCAGGAGCCCCCAACTCCCAGGCTATGGATTATTCCAGTCTGTGGCCTGTTAGGAACCAGGCCAGATAGCAGGAGGTGAGCAAGGGAAGCTCATCTATATTTACAACTGCTCTCCATCACTGCCATTACCGCCTAAACTTCGCTTTCTGTCAGATTAGCAGTGGCCTTAGATTCTCATGGAAGCCTGAATCCGATTGTGAATGATGCATGCAAGATATCTAGGTTTATTACAGGAATAAGTGAACATAAAACTAAAATGTATGTTTTTGCAATCCATTAGTGTTGTTGGTCCATCAGTGTTGCTATAACATTATATCTGAGCTGAGAAATGTATAGAGAGGTTATTTGGCTCATGATTTCAGCAGTTAGAAAGCCCAAGGGCATGGTGCAGTCATCTGCTTGGCTTCTGGTGAGAACATCATACTGCATCATAACAGAGAAGAAAAGTGAAAGGGAAAGCCGGCTTACCAAAATGACCAAATAGGAGCCTCACTAACCTGCTCTCTCCAAAACTAATACATTCTTCAGAGAACTAATTCAGTTTCATTAGAAAGACATTAATCTATTTTAAGAATCTATTATCTATTACCTTTTAATGGTACCACATCCTAGCATTGCTGCACTGGGAATTAAGGTTCCCAAGTGAGTTTTGGAGGAAACACTCATAGCAAGCTCTTTAAAAAATTGAACGATTTTTATTTATTTGTTATTTATTTATTTATTTATTTGTTTGTTATAAAGATGTGGGGTACAATTCAGGGTTAGGTATACAAATGTTGATTATGCAGGTACCCTTGTTGATGAGATATGTCCCTCCCTCCCCTAACAGTTTTCCTCAATTGCCAATCCCACCCCCCTCCCCTGACAGTTTCCCACTACTGCCAATCCCTTTCTTATAGTATTATAATTGTTCAAGATCCCTTTACGAGTGAGAACATATGGTCCCCTGTTCTTTGTTTCTGTGCTAGATCACTGAGTATAACCAGTTTCAGGGAAGACAATTTTTCTACGGACAGGATGGGGAAAGAGGGGGATGGTTCTGGAATGATTCAAGTGCACAACATTTATTGTACACTTAATTTCTATTATTATCACATTGTAATATGTAATAAAATAATTATACAACTCACCATTTAAAAAAAAAAGCGGTACGGGTGTACATGATAAATAAAATAATGAAAAGGCTGTGGCGGACTAAAATAAGTGTCAGATTCTGACTTAAAGTCTGCCACCAGATGTGGTTGTACAATCGAAGTACCTCAACTCACGTGCCAAACACTGGTTTTTGATATGAGTGTGCAAACAATTTATTATGGTCTCTGTGCAGTCAAACCTCACTGTTATATCCATCTGTATTTGCAGCCACTCTCCAGCGCATCACAGCCTCGACTCCACCTCAAATCATCAGGCAATAGATTCTCATACGGAGTGTGTAACCTAGATTTCTCACTTACACAGTTCACAATAAGTTTTTCACTCCTTTGAAAATCTAATGCCATGGCTGATCTGACAGAAGTCGGAGCTCAGGCAGTAATGAGAGTGATGGGGAATGGCTATAAATACAGATAAAGCTTTGCTTGCCCAACTGCCACTCACCACCTGCCCGGCCGTTGTGGCCCCCTGAGGTGCATAGTAACATAATGTAATTCTAGAGCTATACTTCAGATCATTTCTGGAGAAGCGAAAGTGCATGTTAAACACCTAAATTTATTTTAGTAACATGAGGCAATAGTATTTTAGGCAATTCACACATTTAGATGATTAAATTTATATTTCATAATGACAAGATGTCAATTAAAATGCACATTTAAGTAGAGAAAAAATGACAATTGATGAGATTTTCAAAGTCTTTGACACTCAATCCTACAAAAAAATCTATGATTTAAAATAATTGAAAGCATATTTTGTTCGGGAATATATATATTGAAATAATATATTTTTTAAAAATATAATAATTATTTCTAATCGCGAACTCAAATGTATTTTTTTTAATCGACTCATTGAATTTTGAGGCTGAAGGTGATTGTAGTGATTACCTCTAAAGACTGACTTATTGCTCAATGAAGAAGCAAAGGCTTAAGGAGGTTTGAACTCTGTCAACTGCCTAGACAGAAGTCACAATCAGTGAGAAAGTCAATACTAGAATTCAATGCATTGCTCATTTTTTATTGCAGTATTTTTTATTTAAAATTAAAATAAAACAGTGTGTATATGTGGTGAAAAGAGAAGAAACATGTATACTCAGTCATCATGACTGCTCTATAGATG